AAAAACATAATTTTACATGAATCACCTTCAATTATAGTAATAAATTTACATTGTGAATATTTAATTGACTAACTACATCTTAAAGTTAAGGACTCCTGATAATTATCAATAATAATTTATTTATTTAATTATTATTGATATTAAGTGATCAGATCTCTGTGCAGCAGCAGATGGATCTGAGTCCAGAGTTCTCAGTTTGTCACATCTAGAGTCACACAGAAGAGCTCCAGAAGGTTTCGGAGTATGGATGGTTGATTGTCTCTTTTGTGTCCCTGATGGAGACTGGAGACCTGTCCAAGTGTCCCCTGCCTTCACCCAAAGGCAGCGAGGACAGRYTCCAGCCCCACTCTGACCCTGATTAGGAACAAGGACAGAATGGACGGAGGATTTTTCTTTGTAGCAGACATACAAAATTTTTCTAAGTTTTTGGGTTTTCAAGAAACTACATACAGCAGCTTTAATTATAAAACATGATTTATTTTATGTTAATCTGAATCTGTGTTGTTTGTAAATATATTTGACAGTTTTGTAGGAATGAACATGTTTGTAATGTTTGTTCAAAATAAACCTGTTTCTTATGACTTCTGTAACATGTTTTACATAAAATAATATCAGTAAAAAACCTCAAATCATGTAATTTCTAATAATTATTAGAACTCTAGAAGAACTTGAACTCTTGTAGATATAAAACACAACAGTTAAAAATGCAGCTATTCAAAAACTTCCTCTCAGTCACTGAGAATAATTTATTTACCACATTTTAAAGACCCATAATGATCTGTTAATGCTCCTGAACGGGACTGTCTGACCTGCAGTGTGCTGTGTGAGGAGCTCAGCTCTGTTTGAGTCCATTATGACGTAGACTAAGCAGCTCATTCTGTCTGGAGTTATGGTGTTTTGAGTTCACAAACTACTCTAGTTAATTTTTTTAAAGTTGAGGACATTACATTAGCTTGCTGCGCTGCTGCTCAGCGCTGTTTATTAGAACATGAACGGACTCGTGGGAACCTGGTCATACACGGGGTCTGTGTTGGTGATTCTTACTGTAATATATAAAGTAATTATTGATAAGGTAACCATGCTGTGGCTTCACCTGTCGCATTTTCTTTTAAAGAAATAAAAAGTAGCTTGCAAAGCTGTCGCATCGGTGCTACGTAGGGTTGGGCAATATAGGCAAAAAAAAATCACGATTAATTGTGGTATTTAGCCGATAACGATTAATTTGACGATTAATCCCCTGGAGTCCCTGGACACCCTCATGTCCTAGTCACATGACCAATTTAGTGGGAAAGATTTGCTCTTCATAAAAATCTGTTCCAAATTGTGTCAAAATTACAGACTTCAAGCTATACATCAAATTTTAAATTGTGTTGATAGATAAATAAGTTACAGACCTTTCTTTTAATGTTCGTCATATTTGAAGCTGAGAGGAGCAGTGAGCGGATTCTACCTGTTGGCATTAATCGTATTAATTGTCAAGCGCCAAAAATTAATTGATTAATGTTTTTCTGACGATTAATCACACACAATACGATTATGCCCAACCCTAGTGCTACGTGATTAAAAAAAGCAAAGTTTTCATTGTGCGTCTAATCACACACACATACATGTCTTTCTATCTTTGTGAGGACCACACACAGCACCCACAGCCTCGCTCTGCGCCGTCTTTTATCCCCAAGTTTGACGAGAGGTGAATATGGAGGGGTGCGAAAATAGCTCTTTACTCTCTACTGCCTTATTTAAATTAAAAAGGACCACATGCTGTGAAATTCTAGGAGGGGCGGGCCGTCTCGTTGGCGGGGGTGGGGCTTGAGTAATGGTAAGGGAAATGCTGGTTATGGGTTATTGTCAAGGCTTGTGGCAAACCTTTGCACTGACAATTAACTTAAACTGTTTGTGCTGTTTGAGGTGACCTTCAGTTGTTGTTTGGTGTTTTTTTTTTTAAAAAGTGGTAGCATAACATGGAGCAATAGAGGAAGGGACAGGGACCCCGTCCTTGCTCCTATCTCTATGGGATCAGTGGCCTGGCCTGACCACTTCCACAGCCAGCATCTCAACCTTATCCATCACCACTAGATAGTTATCACACCAGGGATAGAAGATGTGAGGTGTAGGGGTGATTGCAACAGAAAAGGGGACTCCCTGTCCTGAAAACACACTCTAATCTAAACAAACAAACAAACAAACAAACAAAAGAGAGGGAGTCAAATGTCTGTATTTAAGGATACACACGAGCCCTTAATGACACAACTAATGCCTTAATCACTCTACAGCCATCTGGATTGTGTGTTACTAAATGTGGTACGTCATCATTAAAAAAACTATAAATTATTTCTGCTTACCTATATTTCATTAAAAACACAACATTCTGAGCATTTTGCCTGAAAAGAAATACTGGGTAATAAAACAGATTGTTGTTTTTCTTTCAGCTGCTCCCATCTGCAGGGGTTGCGACGAGTGAACCCGCATAAAAGATTAAACTTTTTCTTTTTTTACACCAATTACTCTTCTGATGCAACACACACACAACCGTCTTGCCACTCCTTAGGAAAACCCAAGACGTTTCATGCCAAAAACGTTTGATTATTCATTTAGCAGGTCTCTCCCTACACGTTCGAAAAGCTTCAAGTGAATTAAAAAATGTACAACGTAACCTTTACATTGTATAATGGCTCTTATGGTAAAGTTCTAAATGGTAGAAATTATTTTTTAAAGTAGCGTCGTTCAATTTGCAGACTCTCCTATTTCCTAATCCCTTATAAATTTCTGCAGAGATAAAGCACAAAATAAAGTACCAATAAAACATATGTCTGGAAATCACATTGACTAATCTTAGAACTAATCACCTTTTTTAGCATAAGGGCTGTAACATTTTTAATACCTGCTTGTTCCTCTTCAGGGTAGCAGGGAGTTGGTGTCTATCTCAAGTGGTTTTTGGTTAGGTTGTCAGTCTAACACAAACAGAGACAAAAGTGGAAGATAACTATTTACACTCAGACCTTACACAATTTAGAATGTCCATTTAACAAAACGTGTATGTTTATAGATTGTGGAAGTAAACTGGAGTTGCAGAGATGCATTTTCTTCAGTCAACATATACAAATACTGTATGTACAAGTAATACAAAGCAAACAGAAAACATTTGAATAAGGCATTTTATTTTCATTATTCAATTTAATCAGTGCATGCCTGACATAACTCAGATTGTGCAGAATATCAATGGTAGCTTAGAACAGAATCCATTTTTATAAAACTCCACACTGTGGAACAGAAACAGACATATATTCATTTTTATATACAGCGGGTAAAATAAGTATTGAACACGTCACCATTTTTCTCAGTAAATATATTACTAGAGGTGCTAATGACATGAAATTTTCACCAGATGTCGGTAACAACCCAAGTGATCCATACATACAAAGAAATCAAACCATAAATGTCCAGAAATGAAGTTATTTGTAATAATGTGGAATGGCACAGGGAAAAAGTATTGAACACACTTACTGAAATTTATCTAATACTTTGTACAAAAGCCTTTGTTGTCAATGACAGCTTCAAGACACCTCCTGTATGGAGAAACTAGTGGCATGCATTGCTCAGGTGTGATTTTGGCCCATTCTTCCACACAAACAGTCTTCAAATCTTGAAGGTTTCGTGGACCTCTTCTATGAACTCTGATCTTTAGTTCTTTCCATAGATTTTCTGTTGGATTCAGGTCAGGTGATTGGCTGGGCCATTCCAGCAGCTTTAGTTTCTTTCTCTGAAACCAACTGAGAGTTTCCTTGGCTTTGTGTTTGGGCTCATTGTCTTGCTGAAATGTCCAGCCACGTTTCATCTTCATCATCCTGGTAGATGGAAGCAGATTTTTATCAAGAATGTCTCTGTACATTTTTCCACTCATCCTTCCTTCAATTATTTGAAGTTTGCCAGTACCATATGCTGAAAAACAGCCCCACACCATGATGTTCCCACCTCCAAACTTCACTGTTGGTATGGTGTTTTTGGGCTGATGTGCAGTGCCATTTGACCTCCAAACATGTGTATTATGGCATCCAAACAGTTCAATGTTGGTCTCATCTGACCAGACTATATTCTCCCAGTATTACACAGGCTTGTCTAAATGTTGTGCAGCAAACTTTAAAGGAGCTTCAACATGCTGTTTCTTCAGCAGTGGAGTCTTGCGTGGTGAGCGTGTATACAGGCCATGGTGGTTCAGTGCATTACTTATTGTTTTCTTTGAAACAATCGTACCTGCTAATTCCAGGTCTTTCTGAAGCTCTCCACAAGTGGTCCTTGGCTCTTGGACAACTCTTCTGATAATTCATTTCACTCCTCTGTCAGAAATCTTGTGAGGAGCACCTGGTCGTGGTCGGTTTATGGTGAAATAATGTTCTTTCCACTTCTGAATTATGGCCCCAACAGTGCTCACTGGAACCTTCAGAAGTTTAGACATTCTTCTGTAACCGATGCCATCATTATGCTTTGCAACAATAAGGTTGTGAAGGTCTTGAGAGAACTCTTTACTTTTACCCATCATCAGATGGTTCTTGTGTGATACCTGGCCATCATTTGGGTCTGAACCAGCTGATATTAACTTGCACTGACAAGGGGCAGGCTTGCTTTCTAATTACTGAGAGAGTTCAGCTGGTGTCTTGGCTTTCCATGCCAGATTTGAAGACTGTTTGTGTGGAAGAATGGGCCAAAATCACACCTGAGCAATGCATGCCACTAGTTTCTCCATACAGKAGGCGTCTTGAAGCTGTCATTGACAACAAAGGCTTTTGTACAAAGTATTAGATAAATTTCAGTAAGTGTGTTCAATACTTTTTCCCTGTGCCATTCCACATTATTACAAATAACTTCATTTCTGGACATTTATGTTTTGATTTCTTTGTATGTATGGATCACTTGGGTTGTTACCAACATCTGGTGAAAATTTCATGTCAATAGCACCTCTAGTAATATATTTACTGAGAAAAATGGTGACGTGTTCAATACTTATTTTACCCGCTGTACATGTAGAAGGTTGTGAGCAACAAAGCAACAAAGTTTTTTTATATGTAAAAAAAAAAACAAAAAACTAATATTCAGTTTTACCTTCTTGCATACTTTAATGCTTTGTGTTTTAGCCAAACAACTACCAAATCCATTATGGTCCTATAGGTTTGGCAATCTTCACCTGCTGTTTCTTGCTGGTAATGGGAGGTAGTTTGGGCCTCAAGTCGCAGGCTCTAGTGGATTTGATCCATAGGGGTTCAAGAGTCTCAGAGAAAGTAGGTCCTACTGAGTTAGATATGTCCAAGAAACAACCACTACATCTAGGGGTCACCCTAGTGGGGGTATGGTACTTGACCTCCCTCAACAGTAACTCCATCTCATGAGGGGATTGTCTAAATGGAGAGTTGAAGACCCCTGGGTGCTAAAAAAGGAGAAAGCACAATATTAACATGAGACGCAGGTCTTAGTTGTTAGTACAGTATGTAAATACAGTGGAACCAAGCCGTACGCAATTCAGTTTGGTGTTAATAATTAAATTTAAATTCTATTAGTTGTGACTGAGGTGAACTTGTTGAAAGGAATCCAATCAGAAAAAATAAAAAAAATAAAGGGGCTGTGTCTAAAACGATTCTGGTACAATATGTGTCCGAGAAACATAGAACACTTCAAACAGACAGCTTGTACATCTTTATGTCAACAGGTAAGACACTGACTATTTACTGACAGACTTCTTGAATGAATGGTTGAATCAATGAATTAAAATAAAAAAAAAAATTGTACATGCCAGTCTTCTGAATCTTGCTGTACATGCATTTAAACACAAACAAAACTTTGCCTGATCAGTTTTAAAATTAGGCAGAGATAAGCCACAGACAATAATTATTCAAATCACAGCGACATTTCTGCCTGTGTGTTAATTATCAGAACAAAGCTTTGAGTCAGAGCACTCTATCTACTTTATATGCTAATAACAGTTGCTATTTAAGACACTCTAAAGGAGTGGGACAACAGAGAGTAAAATGAGGGATGGCTTAAGTGGGGAATTTGTACTAACTATATCAACTTAAACACTAATCTTTTAAGAATTAGAACTAATCGAGTTAATACTGTAAGTACATATTTCATTGTCTGATAAAATAACTTTGGATGTAATGCTGTGTTGCCAAAAGAAAAGGAATAGGTACCTGCAACTCAAAAAAAGCTCATTTCTTACCACCAAATCATGCATACATGCATGCAAAAATACAAAAATGATGTGGATGATTTTTTTAAAGACAGGCAACAAATTTTCTCAGTTAAAATATTTATTCCCAGATCTAAAAAGTCCATTTCATTCTCAGAGCCTGTCTATGTGTCCCTGAGACTTTCAAATCAAAATGGCTTTGAACTCCCTCTGCTGCTGCTCTAAACTTAGCAAACCATTATATTTATAAAACGCTCTGGCCACACCCCTGGGGGCAGTACCTATTGCATCAGCACTAAAATACCGTAAATCTAAACATTATTCTTATGCTGCTAAAGGGAGATACAAATTAAATAGAGACATGTTGGACCTCTTACAGTTTAAAGCAGAGGTGCCCAAAGTGGAGCCCGCCGAGCCATTTGATTTGACCCACCAGCAGTTGTCCTGGTTACTAGATTGTAATTATGTTAAGATTAAATATAAAATACAAGTAACTACAAGAGA